TCTGTCTGTCCATAGGTCTGACTGGACCCGTGCGCACCCATTTCCACACGGCCTCCAAGTCTTTGAGAAGCAGACATCTTCCTAGGGCAGGCCAGAGGAGATTCTTTCTTATGAGGCCAGGCTATTCCAATATCGGGAGCTCTCCAAGTCAGTTCAGAAACACTCTGTCCTGCTCCAAGCAAGAAGGGCTGGCACCTGGAGGCTCAGCCTTGGAGAAACCGAGCAAATTACCCAATGGCCTGCCTTCAGGGCCATTAGGCTCTCCCCCAGGAAAAAGTGGGAGTAGGCACAAGCCAAGGAGAAGAGCAAACCCAGCAGAGTCTCTGGGGCCAGGCTCCAGGCTCATTTGGCACCAGGGGTCATTAGAAGGGGGCAGGCAAGTGGGTTTGAGCAGGCTTGGAAGGAAAACTTTCTGGTTGGGGGTGATCACTGCAATAAAGGAGACCTGGGCCATGTGCAGAGGTTTTGGAGTGGCATAAGTTTGGAGTGGAAGAGCAGGGGTGCTTTGGGCTGCAATGGCAGTGGGAGAACCCTTGCCAAAGGTACAGAGGCTGCAATCAGTGCTCTGATTTGTGCAGAAAGGGAGGCCAGGTCTGTGTGTCACCAAGGCTGTTATCAGAGCTTCCTACCAGGAAAGACTAAAGTGCAGAGAATCAAATGGACACTCAGATCTTGCTGGAGCTGCTCTTGTTCCAGTAATGTAGGCTGACTAGGAGGAAGTGTTAGGAAGGCCAACACTCCCACTCCCTCAAGTGAACAGGATTTGTCCATTCCTGGCCCTCACCACTGGGGATCTTGGGAAGGCAGTCCTCAGCCTTGCTAAGGGGCTCAAGAGTCACCTTGAGTGGTGGTTGACTAGGCCTAGGCAGAAGGGGAAGCACCATACAAAAGGAAATGCAGGATCTGCCTCATCTCTCTATCTTCATTCATTCACTTACTCATTCCTTCACTCATTCACTTCTGAATGGACTCAGGAAACTCAAGGTTCCAGGACTTTAATGTAGTTTCCCAGGCTCCTGAAGACCTTGGCTTTTCCAGAGGCTGGACAAGGCCTACTGCAGGCTATTGCCCTAAAGATCAATAATTAGGTTCAGCTGAATCAAGGCTGTACCCTTGCTGAATATCATTCCTGGCTTGAATAGCCTTCCTATCTTAGGGCTAAATAACCCTTTTGTCAGTTTTTTTTGTCAGTTTTGTCAGTGTTATCAGCAGAAACGATGACCCCTCTCTCACAGTGATTGATAATTAAGCAGAGATAGAGTCATCCGTAGAAAGGTAGCTAATAGGTCATTAGTCTCTTGCCTGCAAACAACCTGTCCACACTGCCAATGAAGATCATTAAGAATGGCCCTCTACAAGGAGATCAATAAATTGGGCATACAACTAAAAAAATTAGAAAAAGAACAAATTAAAAATCCTCAATTAAACACCAAATTAGAAATATTGAAAACCAAAGGAAAAATTAATAAAATTGAAATTAAGGAAACTATTGAACTAATAAATAAAACTAAGAGCTGGTTTTATGAAAAAAAAAACAATAAAATAGATAAACCTTTGGTTAATCCAATTTAAAAAAGAAAGAAGAAAACCAAATTACTAGTATTAAGAATGAAAAGGGTGAAGCTACCACCAAGGAGAAGGAAATCAAAACAACAATTAGGAATTATTTTGCCCAACTATATGCCAACAAATTTGACAATCTTAGTGAAATGGATACATATTTACAAAAATATAAATTGCCCAGATTAACAGAAGAGGAAGTAAAATACTTAAGAAACCCCATCTCAGAAAAAGAAATCGAACAAGCCATTGATGAACTCCCTAGGAAAAAATCTCCAGGGCCAGATGGATTTACATGCAAATTCTATCAAACATTTAAAGAACAGTTAATTCCAATACTATATAGACTATTTGGTAAAATAGGTGAAGAAGGAATCTTACCAAATTCTTTCTGTGATACAAATATGGTGCTGATACCTAAACCAGGAAGAGTCAAGACAGAGAAGGAAAATTATAGACCAATTTCTCTAATGAATATAGATGCAAAATTTTTAAACAAAATATTAGCAAACAGATTACAGCAACTTATCACAAGAATGATACACTATGACCAGGAAGGATTTATACCAGGAATGCAGGGCTGGTTCAATATAAGGAAAACTATCAGCATAATTCATCATATCAACACCAAAACTAACAGAAACCACATGATCATCTCAATAGGTGCAGAAAAAGCTTTTGACAAAATACAACACCCATTCCTATTAAAAACACTAGATAGCATAGGTATAAATGGAGTCTTCCTTAAAATAATAAATAGCATCTATCTAAAACCTTCAGCAAGCATAATATGTAATGGGGACAGGCTAGAAGCATTTCCAATAAGATTGGGGGTGAAGCAAGGATGTCCATTATCACCACTGTTATTCAACATCCTACTGGAAACGTTAGCTTTAGCAATAAGAGAAGAAAAAGACATTGAAGGTATTAGAATAGGCAAAGAAGAAACAAAGTTATCACTCTGCAGATGATGTGTTGTTATACTTAGAAAATCCCAGAGAATCAAGTAAAAAACTACTTGAAATAATAAACAACTTTAGCAAAGTTGCAGACTATAAAATAAACCCACATAAATCGTTGCCATTTCTATATATTACCAACAAAGCCCAACAGCAAGAGATAGAAAGAGAAATTCCATTTAAACTTACTGTAGACATTATAAAATATTTAGCAGTCTACCTCCCAAAACAAACCCAGCAACTCTATGAACACAATTACAAAACACTTTTCACACAAATAAAGTCAGATCAAAATAATTCGAAAAACATCAGTTGTTCGTGGGTAGGCCTAGCTAATATAATAAAAATGACAATTCTACCTAAGCTAATTTACTTATTCAGTGCCATACCAATCAAACTACCAAAAATTATTTTATAAAGTTAGAAAAAAATAATAACAAGATTCATTTGGAAGAACAAAAGGTTCAGAATATCAAAGGAACTAATGAAAAGAAATGCAGGGGAAGGTGGCCTAGCCATTCCAGATCTTAAATCGTATTATAAAGCAGCAATCATCAAAACTGCTTGGTATTGGCTGAGAAATAGAGTGGTGGATCAGTGGAATAGGTTAAATACGCAAGACACAGTAGTCAATGACTTTAGTAATCTATTATTTCATAAACCCCAAATCCCCAGCTTCTGGGATAAGAACCCACTCTTTGAAAAAAAAAACTGCTGGGAAAACTGGAAAAGAGTATGGCAGAAACTAGGCATAGACCAAAATCTCACACCATATACCAAAATAAAGTCAAAATGGGTACATGATTTAGATATAAAGGCTGATACTATAAGCAAACTGAGAGAGCAAGGAATAGTTTACCTGTCAGATCTATGGAGAACAGAAGAATTCATGACCAAACAGGAGACAGAGAACATTACAAAAAGCAAAACAGATAATTTTGATTACATTAAATTGAAAAGTTTTTGCACAAACAAAGCCAATGCAACTAAGATTAGAAGGAAGGTAGAAAATTGGGAAAGAATTTTTACAACCAGTCTCTCTAATAAGGGCCTCATTTCTAAAATATATAGAGAATTAGGTCAAATTTATAAGAATACAAGCCATTCCCCAATTGATAAATGGTCAAAGGATATGAACAGACAGTTCTCAGATGAAGAAATTAAAGCCATCTATAGTCATATGAAAAATGCTCTAAATCACTATTGATTAGAGAAATGCAAATCAAAACAACTCTGAGGTACCACATCACATCTATCAGATTGGCCAACATGACAAAACAGGAAAATGATAAATGTTGGAGAAGATGTGGGAAAATTGGAACACTAATGCATTGTTGGTGGAGTTGTGAAATGATCCAACCATTTTGGAGAGCAATTTGGAACTATGCCCAAAGGGCTATAAAAATGTGCATACCCTTTGACCCAGCAATAGCACTCCTAGGGCTATATCCCAAAGAGATCACACAAATGGGAAAATGACCTACATGTACAAAAATATTCATAGCAGCTCTTTTTGTGGTGGCAAAGAATTGGAAATTGAGAGTATACCCATCAATTGGGGAATGGCTGAGAAAGTTGTGGTATATGAATGTGATGAAATACTATTGTGCTATAAGAAATGATGAATAGGCTGACTTCAGAAAAACCTGGAAAGACTTGTATGGTCTGATGCTGAGTGAAGTGAGCAGAACCAAGAGAACATTGTACACAATAACAGCCACTTATGTGATGACTAATATTGATAAACTTAACCCTTCCTGGCAATACAAGGATCTAAGACATCTCCGGAGGCCTTGTGATGGAATATGCTATCCACATCCAAAGGAAGAACTATGGAAGTTGAATTGCTATTTTTTTTCTCTTTTATTGAGTTTTGTTTCCTCTTTCTGAAGGTTCCTCCTATTGGTTTTAATTTTCACTTACAACATCACTAATATGAAAATATGTTTAATATGAATGTAAATGAATAACCTATATCAGATTGTGCGCCATCTTGGGGAGGGTGGTGGGGAGGAAGGGGGAAAAATTTTATACTCAAAAGCATATGGAAGTGATTATTGAGAAATCAAAATAAATTAATAAAAAAATTTAAAAAATAAAATCTAAAAAAAAAAAAGAATGGCCCTCTACAGTGACCCCTTCATGGTTCCCAGGGACCAGAGCATTCTCCTCCCTAAGCATTCATTTAGAAGAAGAATATATCTCTATCCTATCAGAGGTCTCTTTTCAAACCCTACACCTTTCTTTCCCTCAGGTTGTATGAGTACTCTCCCTCACCTTCACTAAGGAACTCAGGATTACCATCAAGTCATTGAGGGGATCTCCTATCTTCTAAGACCCTAAACATTCTGCATAGATATCTAGGGACAACTTAGTGAAACTTCCTCTATAGAAAAGGGAGTGGAATAAACATTTATTAAGTGTTTATTACGTTTAAGTCAGACACTGTGGTAAGCACTTCACAACTATTATCTTCTTTTACGTGCCCAATAACTCTTGGAGGTAGTTATTATTACCATTTTACAGATAAGAAAATTGAGGCTGTGACTCAATTTGTGAGGCGCAGGGTTACACAACTAGTAACTATCTGAGGTTGGATTTGAATTCAGGTTCGGCACTAGATCCCTTTTGCGACCTAGATAAAAGAAAAAAGAGAATAAGCCAGGAATGCAATAATGAAGAAAAGAGATGCACTAAAGAAAAAAAAAAAAGAGCGGGAACTTACTATGTCATAGAGTTGGAATGTGGAAAAAGAGTATAGAGACGTGGAGGGAGGGTGGGGGTGGGGAAAAGGAGTCGGTATTAGAGAAATCTTACTCGGATCTGAAAGAGACACAGGACGTTTGAGTATATACTCGGAGTTCAGTGCAGACCCAACAGGGAAACAGTTGAGAATGGCAGTGCGGTTAAGAAGGAAGATTCTGCTGTGGAGGGAATAGCAAAAGCAATAAGAACTTCCTGTTCCTGTGGCAGGTATTAAGGGGATAGGAGGTGGGCGGAGAGGAGAACTCTAAAAGCAAAGGACTAAATTCAAAGGTAAAGCATTCCCCTACGCCCGATGTCCCCCTCACTCAGCCTCCCCTCTGCGCACCCACAAGTCCCTGACAGCAGCCTTTCCCATCCACTCCCAACTTCCACGCAAAGTCCTCAATCACCTGTCTCGCCCCTGAGCTCGGGAAAAGGCTCGGGCACTGTGGGCCAGTGCAGAGGAAGCTTGTCCTGAAAGGGAGCAATGTCTTAGAGGCAGCAGCGAGGGCAGAGGCTGGAAGCTCAAGCGGGTCCCCTTGCTGCCTAGACTGCCCCAGAACAGAGGTCCGGCCTCCGAACTGGCAACGACCCGCACAAGCACCTCGAGCCATCCTGTTGTTTGCCCTGACTTCCTGTTTCCTGGGTGCCGGTTGGATGGCCCCAGAGCTGAGGCTTCTCTTTCCTGCAGCTCCTGTAAGCAGAAGCCGAGCATCTTCGGGGTCTCTGTGTTGGAGCGCCCCGCCAATGGAGCCATGTGGAGGAATTGCGTGTGGCTCCCGGATGCAAAACAAGGGAAAACAAAAAAGAATAAGATACGTGGCATCATACTCCTCGTCGGGGAATCGAACCCCAGTCTTCCGCGTAACAGGCGGAGATACTCACCACCATACCAACAAGAACCCGTTTGGGAGTGATACCTTACCCACTGGTCAACATTATGAGCTCCATAACTGTCCAGTGGGTAAGGTAGTCTCTTTCAAGAGGGTCTTCCTAAGGGAAGCCATCTAACCCAGGAAGAGAAACCTTTCCTGTAAATCACACCCTATCTTTGCAAAGATTCTACCCTAGTCCCTTTGCACCTACTTCCTCCCTTCTCTGCTGGCACCTCCAGGGGGGAGAAGCGCAATTCTGTGCAAACTCCTGTCACGCCCAGACCCTCCTCCACCACCACCTCCTTCACACAAAACCTTCACAGTTACCATCAGGATCAGGCCTCCAGTCTTCTGCCAAGATTCACCTCTCTCCTCAGGGAACTCTCCCCGCTCCCATCCTGTCATCCTCGCCACGGGTCGCCTCCGCAACTTCGTCCCCATTACCTTTCCTTACACTGCCACCAGCCCTGTTTCCCGGCAGAGATTATCTGTGGGACTCTTTTCAGCACACTGCTACTCAGTGGCCTGAAGTTCCCTCACCTGTCAAATTAAGGGCTTACATAACACGTGACGCCTAAGGCCCCCTCCAGCCCCAAAACTAGGAGCCTGGCTTCCGAACGCTGTCTGATCGTAGGTAAGCCATTTAAGTTTTCCCTTCTCCCGGACAACTCCTTCAGGGTATCAAGTTGGACGACAGTTGCCAATCAGTCTTAGTAGAAGGAACTTCTCACCTGGGTCTCCAGTATAATGATGGGGCCACCAAAGGTTCTTGGGTCAAGAGCAACAACATTGACCCTATGACCTGGGAAGTCTGCAGCCCCACAGTGGGAACTTTTCTCAAGCAGTTCTTACTATGCCTGGGGCACTGAGCTACGTGTTGGGAATACAAAGACAAATCCAAGCCCAGTCCTGGCCTTCAAGGACTTTCCAACAGGGGTAGTGGTGGTGGTGGTGAAGGATATGACGGCAGAGATTCAATCTGCAAACAGATACATAGCTATGAGAGGATTTGACGAAGGGAAGAGCAGTAACAGCTAGGGGAGACTTCGTTCAAGGGTCGCCACAGGGTGTGGCACAGGAGTTGTGCTTTGATGGGGATTGTAAGAGATAGGGAAGAAAGAAAGATCCCTCTGCTATATAGGCAAATTCTGTTTGGAGCAGTTTACATTTGGCCTTTATTCTTCGAATAAGTTCCAGTTCCTGTCCTTGGACCACTCACCTATTAGAGCATTGCTCTTTAAGCCCTCGACTTTGTCAGCACCCCCCCTACACATACACACTGGAGTCACACTGGGAGGGGGCTATAGGGGATGCTAATGTTGTCCCAACTCACAGGTTCTCTCATTATTCTATCATCCTTAATTTATTTCATGCCAAAGATTGCAAATGTTATGTACTCATTTCTGTTTTGTTTTGCACTTCTACATGTCATGGCCTCTCTCTTGTTTTATAAGAATTCTTGATGTAGCTGTTTGGGTTCAAGGGAACCCCAAAATATTGGGGTTCACCAGAATGAAGAGGAATAGATGGAAAGGTCACAGAGTCTGTCCTGAAAGTATTCACTTGGACAGTCTCCAAGTTAAAGAGAGGCATTTGTTGGGGCAATTCACCCAAGGGGCTCCCTTCCTTATAGGAGTCCAGAGCAATTAGCCAGGTTAGTTGTCTGGTCTAAATTCAGTTTGACAGAATAGGGGGAAGGGGAGGGGGGAAGAGGATGAGAGGCAAGCATAGCCCTAGAATACCTGGAATATCAGGTAGTCTGGAGGTGTCTTTGTCATACAGATAAGCAAGGGGAATAGGAAAAAGGGAAGGGGAGCTGTTCTAGAATGTCAGGTATTTGAGGAGGGTGCTTTATGAAAGCACACAGATAAGTCCATGGTGGGGGCATCAATGCATAGTGTATGGCTGGTCACATCCTTCATCTTATCTCATTCCTCACATCCTCCATCCTGCCTGCCCCATCTGCCTCTAACACCCTATCTGCCTCATCATAGCCACAGCTGTGAAAAAGCACCTGATTCCTGTTCTTTTCTATTCTGTTTTTTTAATTACATGTCCTTTTGCAATGTTGGCTATCCATTTTGAGATAAATGCATTATATAAGGTGTAAGATGTTGGTTACCAACAAAGTTCTTGAATAAGGGAATGACATGGTCGCACTGATGTTCTTGGAAGAAAAATTTGGCCAGTTGTATCAAGAATTGATTGGAGAGAAGTTGAGGGACTAGAACCCCAGAGACCAATTAGGAAATTGTCCCAATGATCAAAAGAGTAGTGATGAACACCTAAAGTAGGTCTGTGACCCTTGGAGCTGAGAGGAGAAGATGAGTGTGAGGGAAGGTGTGGAAATGAAGAGGCCAAGATTTGGAAACTGAGTGTCGGTGCTTTGAGAGGAAGAGGGAAGGGTGGAGTATGAATTGTGAGGTGGAGGGTAGGAAGCAAGATGACTGGCAAGATGGTCAAGTCCTTCACAGAATTACAAAATTTCCTCTTCCTCAAACCCCTACACCCAGTGGGAAGGTGGCAGGGATTGGGAGAGGGAAAATGAGCTCCAGTTTTTACCTCTTTAATTTGAGATGCAATGGTTATGTTTTGTAGGAACTCAAGAGAGATATTGGTCTCCATATATATATATATAGCTCAGTAATTTGCCAAGAGGTAGTTGAAACAAGGGGAAGAACTGAAGAGATCAGAGAGAGGATGGGGTGTGAATGTCTGCAGAGTTGGAAGACCAGAAGGCCCAGGAATGGATATCCTGGAAGGACCCTCATAGTGGGTAGATCTGGATCATGGGGTCTCCTGAGGCAAGAGAGGTGAAGGAACAGCCCTAGAAAAAGTCAGAAAAGCTGGAGAGAGAGCCAGGTTAGGGAAGATGATGGAGAAAAGAATATCTAAGAGGAGGGATTGCATTGTCCAAAACTGAAGAAAGGTTCAGAAGCACGAGGGAATGGAATCTCTCTTTTCCCCCAATTCTCACTAACCTGGGTGGGTGCAGTTTCAGTTGAGGGATCAGAGGAGGAGGCACATTAGGCAGGGTTGGAGGTGAGTGGGAGGAGAAAAAGTTGTGGCTAGTCATCTGAAGGGCTTTTTCTAGCAGATTCCCTGTAGAAGTGAGGAATTCGGGAGGGTGACAGAGGATGAATACCTTCTTGTGAGCTCTTCTTGCTAAAGAGGTTCTTGGTAGTCTGTGTCTATAGGGCCTGGTCTGTCTGTGTCTGTCCAGGAGAGGGACAAGGGAGTAAAGTCAGACAGCCACCTTCTCCCATTGCCCTATGACCAACGTGATGGTGCACCCAAGCAGGTTCTTGAAGTCCTGGACTTTGTCAGCACTCCACACATGCTAAACATTACACTGGGAGGCTAGGGAGGGAGTGACAGGGGATGCTAATATTTGTCCCAACCTGCAGTTTCTTTCCTTATTCTGTTCTCCGATTTGTTTCATGCCAAAAATTACAAATGTTATGTAGTCACCTTTGAATCTTAGAGCCTATCTCTAAATGTTGATAGGGATGGAGCAGCTGGGGTGAGGCTAATCTCCTCATTTAAGTTTGGAGAGAGCCAGGATCCTGAACTCACTAAGGTGGAAGGGACAGCCCATTCTCCTAACCAAACCAGTTGGAGCAACCCCACATCCAGGTATTTTCACTCCAAAAGCATTCCTCTATGTGTTTCTGTGCTGTGTGAACTTGCAGGCTTGTATGGTGATATAGCCAAAGAGCACGCATGAACATCTTCTGTTCCCCTGCATAAGCAACCGCCCAAATCTCTATCTGGTTTAGGGGAAGACCAGAATCAAAAAGAGAGAGGCCTGTTTCTCCCTCTTCCCTTTCAAGAACAGACAGCTCCTTCAGGACCCTGTAATAGGATCTAACAGAATTCTTCAGGGATGCCCCAATGCCTTGGAGGGGTGGGGAAACTTTGGCCTTGAGGCCACTTGTGGCCCTCTAGGTCCTCAAGTGCAGCCCTTTGACTGAATCCAAACTTCACAAATCAAATACCCTTAATAAAAAGATTTGTTCTATAAAACTTGGACTCAGTCAAAAGGCCACACCTGAGGACCTAGAAGGTCACATGTGGCCTCGAGGCCGAAGGTTCCCCACCCCTGCTAGAAGGCGATCCTTCCTGCTTTCACTGTTTCAGGTGGGGGCCAGCCCTCCTAAGGGTTTTAGGTGGAATCAGTAGAGAAGTAATCTCTAGATCTAGGTGAAGGAGGACTGAGGCCCCACTCTCTCAGGTCCATTAACTGGCAACTTCAGGCATACTCACCACCCCCCCCCCCACTTCATTCCCTTACCTAGGGATTTGGTGGTCTTGAGTGTGAAAAATTAAGGGTAGTGGTCAAAAGCACAATTCTCAAAATAACAATGATAAACTTTATTAACAATCAAATAAAAGCATGTTCTAAAGAAAATCTCAAGGCAATGCAATGGCGAATAACTGTGGTTTCACTTCACCTCCAACTCTCTGGCAAAGATGAGAAAAGAGGGGAACAATCCAAGGTGAAAGTATTATGAAAAGAATGATCCTGGAGAGGAACAGTTCAAGGTGATAGTGGTATGGAAAGAGTGATCCTGCAGGGGAATAATTCAAGGTGTTAATGGTATGGAAAGAGTGATCCTGCAGGGGAATA